AGCTGAGGCCTCGTCCGACCACAGCAGGCACGGGCAGGGTGGCTGCACGGTTCCATCTCTTCCAAAGGTGATGGGTGGGCAGATTTCCAGAGGCAGGAAGTCACCTGGTGGTTGCAGAGGATGGGGGACGCCGGCGATGACTGCTGACAGGCGTGGGGTTTTTCTGGGGGACCAACACGTCCGGAACGAGATGGCAATGAATCTAACGTTGTGAACATGGATGGCCCCTGCCTTGCGGAGCTTGACCTGTAATTTGTCAGCTTTATGATCATGTGAAAGTGTGAAGTGCTGGCACTCACTAGGGAAGGACTGTACGTACTGCATTTTCTTTTCTTTTGGTTTTTGGACACAGGATCTCGCTATGTAATTCAGGCTGCCCTTGAGCTCACGGGGAGCTTCCTGCTTCAGCCTCCTGCGTGCTGGGATGACAGGTGTGGACTTATTCACTGCACTTGTGACTTGCAGCATTTTCAGTCTGTGATGGGTTATTGGGACATAACCCCACAGGAGTCGAGCATCTGTGCACTGAAAACCACTGAATTATGCACTTTAAAATAGTGAATTGTATGATATGTGAGTTGCATAGCAATAAAAACACATTTTTAAAAACTGAGTAGACAAGTTGCTATTGGAGAAGAGAGAAGCAATTGAAAGAGAAAGCTGAGGCAAACCTAAACTTCACCAAATGCACAGAAGGGTAAAGAGATTGAAGACATCAAAAACAAAAACTGGGATCTCTAGCAGAGCCAGCCTGTTTTCCAGAAGGAAATGCAGACAGGAAGGGAAGAATCACATTCACAGAGATAAAGAATTAAAGGTGTACTTACACTGAAGGGGAGGGAACTTTAATATCTCAGACTAAATAAAACTCAGTTCACATCCTATTCCACTGTGATGAAGCAGGGCTGTGGATGTAGCTCAGTGGCACCACACCTGCCTTGCAAGTGCAAGGTCCTGAGTTCAATCCCTGGTACTGGGGAAAAGAAAAAAACACACAATGTGATGAAGCAGTGAATCAATGCAAATGGAGTGTCTTAAAAGTTACTGGAGGTAAAAGCAAGATAGCTAATTATGTGACAGTTGTTCTTTTAGATGTGGACTTCCTAGGATGAGCAACTACAGATGCCCAAAGACAGAGAAGCACCCTAAAAATGCTGATAGAGAGCAACTCCCAACCCGAATCCTCTTATACCCCGGTGCCACACAGTTGTGGGTGCTGCAGAAAAAGCAATACCAGCATGTGCTCCAGCAGGAAGAAAGAGGAGTCTGAAGTAGTGGAATTGAGAATCACTGGAGAGCAAATAAACATGTTAAATGTTGGTAAAGCTAGACAGATGTTTGCAGACTGTCCTGCTGGTGATCCCTGAAGGGGCATGGGCTGGTCTACTCCACTCACCTGTACAATAAGAATATGGGTGTCATTTCTATCAGTTTTATTTGTGAGCCATAAATGGGATGACATCTTCTTTTCTTTTTCATTTTATTTTTGAGATAAGGTCGTGTTAAGTTGCCAAGTTGCCCAGACTGGGGTCAAATTTGTGGTATTCCTGCTTCAGCCTCCCAGCTCGCTGAGATTACAGGAGTGTACCACCATGCTCACCTGACACCTAGATTTCTTTCTTCTTCAGATTTTGGCAGTGTCTCCTCCATAGATCCTAATTTCCATCTTGTTCACTCTGCATTGCCAATCCAAGGCCCAGAATGCTCTCCGTGTTTTTGTGGCTGAAGACCTGAACTTGCCCAGCGCTACAGCCCTGAGCTTGTTTTTAACCCAGCTTGTCCTGTCATTGGACGGGTGCCTCTCTGACTCTCTTCTTCACACTGCTCAGGCTGCCCGCCCTCCCGTGGGTTCTGCCCCCTCCACGGGTCCCTGCCCACTCCCCGTGCGGCCACCATGCCCCTCCTGGGCTGTGACACTCCTCTCTGGGCGGCCATGGGAGCCCGGCAGTGGCCGGCTCTCTCCCTCTGATGTGGCCAATGGATTAGGACTGGACAGTCCAGAGAAGGAAGGGACATAGGAAGACAAGCAGAGGAGGGAGAGAAGAGGACCGTGGGGAGAGGCAGACATGCTGAATGTCTTTAGAAAACCAACTTTGCTTCCTTCGCAGAGACCACTTTTTGTCTTGACTCGCAGTCGGCCTTCTTCAGGAAGCTCCTCCTCCCTGGAACTGCCCTGCCTTGACCTTGGGCTTTCTAGTGTGTCTCTGTAGAAACGTCTGTCTCCGGTCACACGCGCGTGCTCACGTGCACACACTCAAGTGACGTGCACACTGCCATGGTCTGGGCGGGCTGCGAGCGTGGCCCAGAGGTCCACGTCCTGGAAATGGTCTTCGGGGCCGCCATGTGGAGATGCTCGGAACCACTACAGGGCAGGGCCTCCAGCAGGGGACCCCAGCCGGCTCCTGGCTCCAGCTTCCTGTCTCTCCGCGTGACCTCTGCCTTGCTCACACTCCCACTGGTTAGGTGGTGACACGGCCACCAGGTCCTCACCAGGGCCCAGCAGAAGCCAGCACCAGGCTCCTGAAGCTTCAGACTGTAAGTGACAATGAACTTCTTTCCTCTGCAAAGCACAGCCCCGGGGATTTGGCTAAGATGACAGGAAATGGACCGATGCACGTGCTCTTGCAAACATCACGCACAGAGACGGGCACACAGGCCAACCGCTCCCCGCCGTGCTGGGTTCCCGCGGCCCTGGGCGCCCTCTCTGGAGTCCACACTCCTACAGCACGTCTTGACTGTCTAAGGCCTGCCATCTCCTGGCTGCGTGTTGTGGAGGCCGGGTCCTGCCCGGCCAGAGTGAGATCTCAGGACGCCTGCCAGGGGCCGCCCCACTGACCGGACCCTAGGTACAAGCTGAGTGTCGGAGAGCGGACGGGCATTCTCCGTTCTTCTCGGAGGTGGTTTTTTGTTCATTTTAAAAATGTAAGCTTCTCTGGGAGGCTCGCAGAGAACAGGCGGGTGATTCCCACAGAGACGGGCCCAACGGGGTCGTGGGGGGCCGGATAGGTTTTCTGCATCTCAGCCCACCGCCTACCCTACCCCGCTCTCACGAGGAGCCCAGCCCTCTGCACCCGAGTCATTACGGGGCCCACCAGTTTTGTTTTTTGAATCTGTGCATTTTCAGCTTCTGTTAGATTCTAAATAAATTGACACGACAAGATTTTCAATTCAGAAAACAATGCCAAACATAAAGAACCGCATCAGGGAGCCACGTGCAGTTCGGGTGGAAGACTCCCAACCCTGAGTCCCCACGTGGGAAATGCCCCCCGTGTCCAACACTGGCACAGACTCAGACCGCTGTCCTGTAATTTCAAATTCAGAAGTGTGGGTCACCTGGGCTCTCATCGCTCACCAGGCTGGGGGAACTTGGCACCTCCGGACACTTGTGTTTCATTTCACAATTAAATACAAGCACCAGCAGCAAGCCTGCCGCCCTCTCGGTGCTCCCTCCCTCTTCTCCGCCCCTCCCCTCTCCCTTGCTCTGCACTGTGCCAGGCGCAGTTGGATCCAGCCCAAGTCTCCCTGAACATCTGGAACAATTTTTCTATTGTTCTTGATCTGAGTTTGAAAACCCACAAATAACTTTGGCAAGCGCCATTTCCCTGCAGCTTTGAAACCTGCCTACCTTTCAGATGTGTTTGTCACTTGTGCTTCTGACTCACACATACCTTACTCATCAAAGGCCTCTTCTTCTTCCTTTTTCAGATTTCTAATGAGCCATTTGTTACCCAGCATGCTTGGGCAGTCTTTACAGTGGTCGTCAGCATCTTTCCATGTTATCAGCTTCCAGGAAGACGGATCGTTAGTGGAATAAAGGACAGGGCTACGGCAACCCCGGCACCTCGCCAACCCCACCCGCACTGCCACCCACGGCAAGCCGGTCAGTGCTCAAAACCCGATGCCACACGGGGCTGCTCAGCACGGTGACCTGGGGGGCACAAAGCCGAGGGTTAGCAATGCTTTGTAGCGATGCACAGAGAAAGGAGACTGATCAAAGAAGAAGACTCTGGGGTGTTTGTGGAAGGAGAGTGTGTATTACAGGCACCCTCACTCAATGACTTTTCAAAAACTTGCTTTGTTATAAAATATGCAAACATAGGTGAGCACTCTAACTCTCCTCAAGCGTACAGTTCAGGGGCATTGAATACATGCACACTGTTGTTCATCCACCACGGTCTACCTCCAGCTTTTTTCATTATTCCAGACTGAAACTCTACGCATTAAATGATATCTTCCTGTCGCCTCCACCCGCAGCTGCTTGAGGCCACCACCCCACTGCCTGTCTGCATTTGATGGACCTCGGCGTTTTGGCCAAGGCGAACCTGGCTCCTTGGTCCCACACTCTGTTCCTTTGTAGGCTGAATTGTGCACACACCCCAGGCCAGGGTCCCCCAGTCATCTGGTTTGCTGTCTCTTGTGAATAATGCCACCGTGAGCACTGGTGTACAGATCTCTCTTTTTAGCTCCTTGGGTGAAAAGCCCTCGCAGTAGAATTGCTGCGTAATATTTCGAGGAACTACTTGTTTGCCAGAGTGGTTGTGCCATTTTACATTTTCACCAGCGAAGTGGTCAGAGGCTCCTTCTAACTGCCCAGAAGCGTCACAGCAGCCGCAGCCGGCAGGCAAAGGACAACCTACTGGACAGGAGGAGGGCCGAGGCCTGGGGCCATTGCCACCCCTCGGTCGTCACCAAATGACATCCGTCCACATGGACACAGGAAGTGACGTTCGGAGAACCCCAGAGCACCCAAGGAGCCATGGAATTCCCAGCAAGTGTGGTCTTCCAGTTCCCCGGACCCCTCCCTCTGGTATGGCCTCTCCTAGCAGAGGGGCTGCAGCTGTGCTCTGAACGTCACTGAATTGCACATCTGATGACCACAGCCCAGCTGACGCCCCCTGCTGGGCACTCTTGCCGCATCAAGAAGCAGGGGGCGCTGGCCACCACTAGGCTCCCTCCAACTTCAGTCACTGAGACAAGGTCAGCACTGGTGGTGTCCCCAGGGCCCCTCATCCTCCTCCGAGGACGGGCTGACCAGTGGGAGGAGCTCCCCTTGGGTTTGCTGCCTGGAGCCACTCGAGGCTGCGCTCTGCCGGGTCCCTTGCTCAGTACTGGCTTTGCCCCGATGCCTCTCACACTGCTGCTGTCAGCCACTGGCCCAGGTGCAGACTCCTGAATAATTAGGGAGAGTGGATGTAGGGATGGGTGAGGTGGGGGGAGTGTGCATTAGGACACAGCCCTGCCCCTGCATGGCATCTGGATGTCTCTGGTTCCTACCTGGGGGGGGCACACTGGTGACCCATGACCTTTGACTCTTGACCCTTGACGCTGCCCAAACATGACCAACTCCCTTCTCAGTTCTGTTCCAATTCGTGTTCCTCATGGGACACAGGATGGCTCAGTAGGTGGGCTTTGTGCCAGGCTGAGAGGGCAGGGTGTGGGTGGGGCGCTGGGAGACTGCACTGCCTCAGGCCTGTCCCCCACCCTGGACCAAGAACCAGACGGAATAGTCTGGGGCGGGGCCGGAGCCACTGTGTGCTTTGGAAAAGGCACCCTCTGGGGGCAGCCTGACTTGGGTTCCAAGTCCCAGACACAGGCTGTGAGACAGGAGTGGGGTCCAGGGCTCGGTTTGGGTGCTGACCCGGAGACACGCAGTCAGGGGCACTAGCGAAGAGATGGGTGAAAGTGGACCTCTCTGGAAGCCTTGGAGGGGCCAAGCGAGGACAAATCCAGACCGTGGGACTGGATGGAGGAGCCTGACAGAGAGGAAGCCTGCACCTGCTAGGAGTCAGTGGGGCTCAGGGGCTCAGGACTGCTCAGAACTGGAGCCAGGCAGGAGCCTGAGAGGAGCAGTGGGTACACGTGCCTTACCCAGGGTCCCTGGGAGACTGTGCATTAGTGTGTGGGTCTCCACTGTAGGCCTCTGGGCTCCCGACAAGGGACCCTCTGAGGACCCCACAGGGGCCGGGAGCTGGGAGTTCCTCTCCAGACAGGGCCCGGCATGGGCGCCAGTGCCTGGGCCAGGAAGAGGCGGACGCAGTCACGGGAGGTAGCAGCTGTTGCATGGTAGGTGGCTCCACCCCACCTAGAGCGCCCTGAGGGTCAGATACACCCTGCCAAAATAACGACCCCACCAGTGGCAAAGGCTTGTGGGGCCGATGGCCATCGATGACTCAGGATCAAGGACCACGGCAGCCAGAGCGGCAAGGAGCCTGGCTGTGCAGGGGTGGGGTCCCCCAGACAGGGCACCACATGGCAGCAGGGATTTAGTGGGCAGAGAAAATGTCTCTCATCTGTCAGTAACAAGAGACTCAAAGGCCCTGGCCCAGGCAGGACCGGCTATTTCTCCCTCGAGTGTGGAGTGAGCTTTCCAGGCAGAAGCAGAGGCTGAGGTGACGCGAAGTTTCAGAGACTGGAGGGCCCGATCCTCCCAGCACCCTCTGCATCGCCCTCAGTCAGTCTGCAGCGTCCACCCTGGTGAGCCCCACACCCCATCCCAGCTGCAGAAGGGAGGAAGGGACCAGGGGCAGGGGAAAGACAAAGGGCATCCCGGCTTGCTGGTGCCTGCCCATCACCCTGGCTCTTCTGGAGCTCAGTGTTCAATTCCATGCCGCGGGTTCAATTCCCAGCATGAGAGGAAGAAGGGGTGGGCGGAACGAGCGCGGGGAGCTGGGGGAGTTGGGTTCGGTGTGGCAGTCCCAGCTCCGAGGACCTCCCATTAACCTGCTCTGAGCCCAGGGCCACACCCCCTTCAGGACAGTCCGGGAAGTGTGACCCCAGCCCGGCTGGACGGCCATCCTGGAGGACCAGGGTGAGGACAGATGCCAGGCTGAATTCGCCGGGCCCGTTGGGGACGCTGAGCTGGCACAGAGTCCGACACTGCACCCCTGCGTGCCCCACAGACCAGACGTTGTGCACAAGTGGCACCCCCAGCTCTTGAGGTGGGCTGTGTGTGTGTGTGTGTGTGTGTGTGTGTGCATGCCCTGGTCATTCTACCTCCAGTAACCTTAGAACTGCAGATTCTCTACGTCTTGTCAGAGTTGCTGGATGTCTTATCTGCACTCCTGAATTTTTCATGAGTTCCTGCTCAGCGCCACAGACCTTCCTGAGGAGCTGGAACAGCTTTCGTCCCCCCCGCTTTACTGGGGCTACATGTTTGTGATAAACAGTAAACACACTTGTCTTGGGGAACTGCAGCATTTACACAGAGCCTCTCCACCCTTTGGGCTTCCCCTTCCCTCCTCTCTCCCACCTCTCCCATCCCCAGATCCCGTCCCGGTCTCCGTGGCCGATCCCCATTTCCTATTATCGCTCTTTTACTTTGTCCGTTAACTTATTTATATTTTGGGTTTCTCAAGTAAGAGAAACTGTACAATATTTAACTGTGTTGCTGAGCATGATGGTGTCACACACCTGTGATCCTAGCACTCAGGAGGCTGAGGCAGGAGAATTTCGGTGAGTTTGAGGCCACTCTGGGCTATATAGTGAGTTCAAGCCCAGCCTGGACTACACAGCAAGACCCTGTCCCTCCCAAAAAATTAACTTTGTGTCTTATTTCATTGAGTGTTACAGTCTCAAATTGTATCTATTTTCCCACAGACGACTCAAGTTTATCCTTCTCTGTGGCAGAGTAACACTCCATTGTATGTAAGTACCGCATTCTCATTATCCATCTCTTCTGATATTCAGCTACTATGAGTCGGCAGCAGACACTGTTGGTGCCCACCCATAGCCCCCAGCCACTGGAGCTCACATGCAGCTGCAGCAGACGCGTGCCTGGCCCTGCAGCCTGCAGGGGCAGTTTGGAGGCGTCTACCACTTTCCCCACAGGCCTGCGCGTGGTCCCACTCTGTACCGCTTTTCCTCTTCCCCATCCTGTGCTCCCCAGGCCCTGGCCAAATGAACTTCCTGCACCCAGGTCCTTAGTGCAGGACCTACTTTTGGGGAACCCAAACCAAGACACCTTTGCATGGCTTCCCATGGTCGCACTGGGTGACTGAATCAGAATTGGAACTCAGATCCCTTGGCGGTTTGGCCAGACGTTCCTTCCACAGAGCCGGAGCAAAAACTCAGGAGCATGATTCAAAGGAGGACTTATACCATCACTTGCCCACCAGCTGCAGTCTTGAAACTGTTGACCTGGTTTCTGAATCAGATTCCAGCCCACAAACAGTGAATGGAGTAGATTAAAATGCAGTAAAAGCTCTGGCTAGGTTTCCAAGATAACCTCCAGGACTGGCTTTGTTAGTGAATGGAGCCTGTGTCTCCTCCCGCCAGCCATTCCGTAAAGGGCTGTTTGATTGGGTTTATTGGTTTTTTCTTGATTAGGACGCTGTGTGCACTGGCGCAGGAGCTGAGCTGAGGGCAGAAGCTCCACGGTGAAGAAACAGGAGGCTGCACACTCTACGGAAAGACCAGGGTAGGGAGAGAGGAGTCGGGGCCCTGCCCAGGGTCCTGTGTGGCCTCCAGGCCATCGCTGACCTTGTAGCACAGGAAGTGGGCGGGGCCAGCCTCCAGCAGCCAGATGCTGCTGTCCACGTGTGAAGCATGCGTAGAGGAACCTGATAGCGGTGGGTGGGGCTGGGAAGCGGCCCAGCTGGCGCCTCTCGTCTGCACCCCGACCCGCCTCGCGCTCTCGCCCACCTGGCTCCCGTGTCTCGGTGTGGATTGCAGTCGTTGCACTGTGAACTCCACGGGGCCCAGCTCTCTTCGGGCGATCGGACAGCTGCGCTTCTTTGCCGCTCAGGTGCAGCCAGTAACCGGGCCCACGTCACAGACGAAGACTCGGCTCCCGGGCCACACAGCGAAGCCGAGGCCGAGGGCTGCCTACCCTGGGCGTGCGCAGGCTCTGGTGCCG